GGGGGGCACGGGGTGGACTGATGTTGCTTCAAAAAGGTGCTTTATATGCGGGTCATGTGCACTTAGAATTGTGCTGAAGGAGTTTTGTCCATGTGACAGTTCCTGCAGTGAACACAGGGTGGCGACAGAGGGCGCTAATCAGAGCCAGGTGGTCACGTCTCAGTGAAGTTTGTAGGAAGGATTGCGCACAGTTGGAGAGCGAGACAGAGGGGAAAAGTGAGCTGGGCTCCAACGGGGAGGGAAGAGACAGAAACCAGGAGCACGGAGAGCTTTCTTCCAGACTCGCATTTTTTTCCCCCCTTCACGGAGATAGTTTTGGTGCGCTTTGATACACAGCGCACAAGTTATCAAGGAACCGCAGCTTGAGTCGTAGCATTTTTGGAGGAGCTCGAAATTAAATTGTGAGTGTAGTGGATGTGAAAAGCGGGCGAAGGTTTAACACAGAGCTAGAGGAATGCATCCAACTCGGACAGCGGCGTGCCAGTGTCTGTGGAGGTGTCCAGCCTGCGCTCTCTGGATCGCTCTGCTTCTCCACTGTGTCCTGGACCTGAGCGCGTCTGGTGAGTTCACAACTTTCCTCCCTTACCTCGGAAATCGTTCTCGTCTGTCCCCTGCTCCTCTCCTGGCTTCACTCACTTTGCGCGTCATCTCAACACGCATCAATTTTACGATATAATATGTCAATCTTCACGAGAAATCACTGTATGTACGTTTGTCATGTCCCTGGAGTAAACCAACAGTGGATTAATAGTGACTTTATGGCATTTTAAAGACAGTTTAAGTCATCCATGAGAATGTTCCTAATAGGGTAGCATTTTTAAGGGCACCCTGTCTTTCGCTCTTCAAGTAATGTCTTAAGTGTTCTCAGACTGTTGTTATCCATATAAAGCAGAGTTGTTTGCCATCAGCCAGCCTCTCCTCTCTCATGTAAATGGTCTGTGGTTTTTAGATTATTGCCCTATTGTCATTCTGAAGCTTCTGCACGGGGAAAGACTTGACTCCATTGGCAGACAGCAGGGGGTCCCTTAACTAGTCAGCTGGGTGGCTATTGTCTGCCCAGTGACAACCCCCAGTAATTTAGATCAATTTAACGATAAGGGTTACCTCAAGTGTTGTTGAAAAGGCAAACAGGCATTGCATTTAACATGTAGGTTTGGTTGAAAAATTGCAATTTGTGGCCTTTAGGAAATAATGAAACAGTCTGTCTTAATTGCTTACAAAACGGAGACAAGGCTGATAAGGTTTAAGTGTTTCTGTGTATATAGGACAGACGTAAAGAGGTTTCCCCCCTGGTCACATTCATCAGTCTTAGAAACTGCTACCACTGCGTTTTACTGTAGATGTGTGTGGCATTCGCATCTTAAACAAAGAGTGGCCTCCTGGTCTATGTAACTGGCTTTTGGTTGACTACGTATGTTTAATCCACCTTTGAATTCAATTGAAATTATTTTCATCTATCCTCTGGCTTTTTTGATTGCCATCTTTTTAATCTCACTTTCTTGAATCTACATTAACTGGATGAGCTAGTTTAGGCTTATTCTAATGGGTTTTGTGATTAAATATGACGTGGAGGAGAGAGACCCCCGGCTTCTGCAGCTACTTCATATCTAGAAATAGACAAGTGGAATGACTGCGTCTTTTTCCATCTCAGCTGGTGACTTTCTATGTTTGGTTATTTTCCATAAATCCCATACTAAAACCAACAATGGATTTTGTGTATATACCATATTGTCTGTAAATCCAGAACCTGGTTTAGCATATTTGCCTGTATCATAGACTGTTATTGTTGTCCAAAAAATTATTAAAAATACACCAGTGAGCCACATCACCACACTTGGTGAAATATTTTTTCCTCACAAAATACTCAAGGTACATCTTACACTGTATAAAAAGCAGCTCTTTCACTCACATGTGCACATGACTGTTTCTTGCTCCAGAGAGTGTAAAATGTGATGACCATTCTTAGCCTTTGGAGCTCTGTTTTGAAGTAACCCCACATATTTCACTGGGTACCAGTACAGTAGTGTGACTCATTGGTGTGTTTTAAGTCCTCAGACAACAGTGGAGCTTTGTGGCACAGACAAATAAGGTAAATCAGGTTCTGGATTCACAGACATTACAGAGAGTGTGTGAAATTCATTGTTGGTTTTAGTCTCTTTATGGAATTTGTGGGGAAAAATAAATTAAAAAACCACTGTAACTGTTATGATAAAGAAAGTAATACCTGTCAAGGGGCTTTCTTCTTCCATTGCATTCACAAACTTGACCTCTTATTCACTGCCAATGAATCAGCTCCAGGATATGTTTATGGATGATATCAGTGGGAGTCTTGTCTCTCTTTTGGCTGACTGTCATGGGTATGGTCAGAGAGGAGCAACAGTGTGCTTCAACTGGAATCAAATGTGAAGAGAAGAGTTCAGCAGCCAGTGGCTAGTGGATATAATGTGACTGTGTTGTAGAAGCAAGTGAGCAGATGAGGAAGATACTGAAAGGCGTGGCTGTCTGGTTTGCTGTTCAGTCTGTGAGCCTCTAGTCAGAGGGCACTGAACAGTCACTTTGGTTCAAATGCCAGGAACAATCAGGGCTTCCCATGGTTACAGCAAGGGAATTTTCTTTACATGGGTGAGAAGCTAAAGGATGTGAATGTGTGGCTTATGTATTTCAGGAAACTATGTACTCTTGGCTGCTTACAGTACCTAAAAGATTGACTCACAAAATGCAGTCCAAATCACTCTCTCCTCAAAACCTTTTAAAACTTAATTAAGTGCAAAACTCTCTCTACATTTATAAGCTCACAAAATTCTGATTAATGTAAGTGATCGGGTCAAGGCAAGGAATTGGAAAATAGGATTGTGTTTTGCTGAGTGCATGCACTTTTACCAGCCCTCAGACATTTCCCTCCCCCAGCCAAAAGCAGTTTAGGCACCACTATCAGCCTTTTAGGTGCTAATCTAAACAATGAAGGAATCATGCTGAACAGATAATGAGAAATTCTTATAAGCATTACTTCACTTGCCAGTCACAGCTGTCCTGCTCTGGAGATCTTTCCTATGCAGTTGTACGCAATTGGGGGAAAAAAGTGTTGTTTTTGGAATCTAGCTGTGCCAAGTGGGCATAATTTTAATATGTTAACCTGGTGTTTAACCCAGATTTAGCAGTATGGCAACCAGATTTAGTGCAAGTACTGTAAATGCACCTTTCGTGTAGACAAAACGTAATTGTGCAGGATATCTGTAAAGTAATCACTGTCGGTCTGTTTGTGCTTCAGCTCCAAAGTAATAATCTGTGACATGTTCATAAAAATAAATTGACGACACTGTTTTCAAACTGTATACACAGTAGATGTTTCTAAATGTGAGACATTCACCTCTGAACATAAAAGGTCCTCTGCAGGGCAGTGACTACGTGAAATCTGTTTAGGGTTGCATTAAGCCTTTTAATAACACTCAGGAAAGCTGTAAATCGGGCCGGGTGCAACTGCTTCAGTGCAGTTTTTAACAGGGCGCACTGTTGACACGAAAGGCACTTCACTCCTGGAAAAATCCTCCATCCTGCAGGCTGAGTGTGTAGGAGCTTGTCTACCCTCTCTGCTACTGAGATATGTCTGTGCTGTTTTGTGTCTTTTGGCATTTTCTTAGACTTGTATTAAAGGAGCAATTCACAGGGAGGTGAAAGAGACGTCAAAGTTTATGGTAGCACTTTCTTTGAGTTGTTTTAAAATTTGTGATTTCTTCTTGATGGGGGAAAAAATCAATCTTTTAAGCAGATGTCGCTAAACTGAGCAGCCAATCAGAGTGCCTGACAGCCCAATGCCGATTCAACATGCCGAATTGACCGAAAAGCCTCTGACAGGGTCTGACTTGTACCGATCATCGGCTTGGTGTGTCATGGCTGTAAAAGATAAGAAGTATCTTCATGGTGTGAGATGCCAGTAAACGGTACAGTTTTCCATTGAGTTGTTAGCTGGAATGTCTTGATATGTCATCAGTGCTTGGTTGAAAGAGGAATTTTGGAAGGATTTCAGACCTGATTAGGTTTCCCTCTTTTGTAGATCTACCCTCTGCTAAGTCAGGCAAAAGCCTCTTTGTGAATGGTAAGAAGTGTACATTTCCTCCATTTGTGTAATAATGGCAGAAATGCCCTTATTTCCACAAATCAGACTGTGGAGCACTCTTGTTCGTTTGTGGTCAGAGTTCCTCAAAGGCAAAACACCCAGATCCTCGTCGGAGACGTTTGATAAAGTTTCTGCCACTACAAAGTGTAGCCAAGCATGAAAAACATTTTCCTGCAATTTACTGTCTGCACAGGAGTTCACTGTGTTAGAGAAAGAGAAACCTCTGCAGGGTTCAGAGAAATGCAAAGAAAAAGAACAGAAAACCTTGGTTCTGGTTTTAATGCAGCAGTAGAGACGCCAGTGTGCTGATGAGAGTGCGGCACTCCAATGATTTTAACAGAGGGAGAGAGTCTGGACTGAAAACGGAAATAAGCTGCATCAAGGTACCATTAATATTTGACAAACTGTATGATACATTAATTGATGACAATTATATTTGGAATTTTCCATCCATTGACCTATACAGTATATGTCCAGATACAAATTAAATAGCTTTTTTTTTAGTCAGTACATTCTGCGTTGATGCCGTTTGACTGCTGTCTGGAAGACAAATTAGGCTCACCACATATAAAGCTGTTCTCTGTTGTACTTTATACACACATGATACAATGGGCCCTTTTCTGCAGTCATAAGGCAAGCTGTAAGTGTAAGAGTGTGCTGATGACAAAGTGACACTTGAAGGAGTCTAATGGAATAAGCCACACATGCTGCATATCAATTTCCCATATGGACTTGGCACGGTTTAATGTTGAGGACTGCAGGGAATAGCAGTGGCTTAAAGAGCTCTACATTTCACTTCAGTGCAGTTTTCTCAAATTACTGCTTTGCTAGTGTCCTTCATGGCTAGCAAATATGTGGAGATCATGCTACATTTCATTTAATAGCAGGTAGAATTAAACATAGCATTTTAAATTCCTCTCTGTGTCTTTTTAATCCCTGTTTGGATAGCATTAGAGATTTCAGAAAGGCCATCCGCCAGCAGACGGACAGAGCATCATCTACCCACAATTAGATCTTTGTACACATCACACTCTCTGTATGATTTTAAACATTATGGTCTTCTCCACCAAGAATATTAGTATTTATATTCTAGAAACTGTATATCTTATCAGTCAGTGGTCAGTTTTGTTGTCCAAAGATATGCACTGCTCAGTTTCTGTCCATGTGAAAGCTGGTTCATCCTTCATAATTTTTGTTTGCAGCATGTCCATCCTTTTCACAACAATCTTAGATGTCTTAACCATTTAATGAAACTGTGGCTCTCAACTTTGTAATGTCAAAAGCACAAATTAAGTACGTACTGTTTGTGAATAGAAATTATTAGAAAACCTGTGCAGCATGTTTTCAGCTAGAGATCATAGAGTAGTCAACCTCTCTGTTGCCCCAGCCGCCATCAGCATGACATCAAAACTCCTTGGCACTCCTCTTATCTGTCTGGCACGAGGC